CACGATATCCAACCAATCAGAACAGGTAAGACCACTATACTGCACAAATTTGTGATTTTGAACTAATTAAACGGGAATAAATTATATACAAAAATGTTTTATTAAAAAAAAAAAAAAAATCACATCTCACCACTGAAATTTTTGTTTTATATAATTGTGAATTATGTGCCTTTTCTCTATTAGCTGTTTCTGTTCTCTGAAGTTAAAGAATATTACTGGATTGGTCTGAATGATCTGGACACTGAAGGACGCTGGGTTTGGGTGAATAACCAAACTCTCAATGAAACTGGAGTACAGTAAGATCTCTGTCTGCAACACACTGTTTTACTACAGGAGAAAACATGCAATAATAGTATATTTTACAACAGCGGTTCTCAAATTGAGGTCCGTGACCAATAGCCAGGGGGTCCGCCAAATAATTTAATATACCGTACAGTTTCTGGTACATTTTTTTTTATCAATAAATTTATTGTTTTTCCAAATACAGTTTACAGAAGTACAGAACAGGCTCACTATAAAAGTCAACCTTTTCTAATTCAGGATTATATTACATCATCAGCATATAATGATATCAATTTTTACCCTCTAATTTTTAGACTGAAAATTGACTCATGCGTCTGATGCAAAAAGTAGCGGAGACCAAGGACACCCCTGCCTGGTTCCTCTTAATAAAGTAAATTATGAGTTTGAAGAGCTGCAGATTAATTTTTATATATTTATACCCGGGGCAGAGCACGAGATGCAAATCTCTCAAGCCAATTTAGTTTAGTTTACAATCGAAGGTGATTGGGCTCTCAGGCGAGATAAAAACGTCTGTGACGTCGACGTTACGTCAAACATGACTGACTGAAAGGGAACAAAATCGTATCATTAATGCTCAACCAGAAACTCACCCATAATACTCTATTGTGCCTTTGGGTGATAGAGTCCATTATAAGTCATCAAAGCATGCTTGTAAGTGTTCGTTTACTGCGTTGTGTTAGTAGGCTACATAGGTCTGCACAGTGGCGTAGGTTTGATTTTGAAACTGGTGGGGACGGGGACATTAATATATAAATATATATTTAAGTTTTGATCGAAATATTTGCTAGTGATATATTGGTGTCACTGGATATTGGTAGGGACACATCACAAACGCCCCAACTAAATTCGACGCATGTGTCTACGCATGTCTGAAAATAATGATCACCAAAAATATTTCAAACTTATATTTGTTTAAACCATTTTAATTTCATTTAAAAACAAAACTAACTCCTGTTTCTGCTCTTGAAGGTTTTGGCACCAGAGGGTCTCTGAGAAAAGTGAACCTGATAATTGGAGAGGAAACAACGCCAATGGAGAGAACTGTGCTATTGTGAAAAATTATCACAACATTTTAAACAATTGGTTTGATGCTTCCTGCAGTTCTATGTATAAGTTTATCTGTGAAAAGAAAGTCCGTCAGTGATATGTCATGAAAGAGGTCAAGGCAATGTATGTTGCTTTGGATAAAAGCGTCTAAATGCATAAATGTAAATCAAGTAGCTTTTCATACTGAGTGTGCTTAGATCCCATTTTTAAGTCATTTTATGCTTGTAAGAGCAGGAGCAAAGCATATGATTTCTGTCACGTTTTAGACAAACAGCTTTTATACCCAAAACAATTTTGCAAAAAATTTTCAAAGCTAGAATTAATAAGTCAAATGACATGACGCTTCTGCGTAACAGCATTATAAGGATGAGATGTTTTTTAATATTCTGTGTGAAACTGTGCTGTGGTCAGCAGATGGCATTGCACTCCTGAGACATTCCTATGTGCTAGCTTATAACCTATAAATAAATAAATAAATATATATATATATATATATATATATATATATATATATATATATATATATATTGACAAGATCTGTTTTGAGTATGCATCTAAAATAACTGAAAGAAAGAAACCCCAGCATGTTGTGTGATGCTTTCTCCGGTGTGTGTAAAGTCTCAGTGTGGCCGTGTACCATGGGTGTTCGCTCTTGTGTTCGAGCACGAGCGCTCTTGTAAAAATTGGTTGCAATCTGAAACAACATTAGAGGCCGCTAAAAATACAAACATAACCTTTAAGAAAGGGGAAGCAAAAGTAAACACCTGAATCCCTTCACAAAGTGCTCTTATATAGGGTGGGCCGAAAAAATTATATTACACTATGTAATGGTAAATGGTACATGGACTGCATTTACACCAAAGCGCTTTACATTTGCCTCACATTCACCCATTCACACACTCATTCACACACCCATTCACACACTGACGGTGGTGTCAGCCATACAAGGCGCCATCCAGCTCGTCGGGAGCAGCTGGGGTTAGGTGTCTTGCTCATGGACACCTCCACACTTGGTCAGGTGGAACCGGGGATTGAACCACCAACCTTCCGGTTTGTAGAACCACTGAGCCACTGCCGCCCATACTTTTCCTCGATAAAATTATAACAAAAGATGATAAGTGTTCAATATAAAATTTATGCAGCACTATGAAAATAATGAGCTGTTAAGGTGGATCATTGTGATCAGAAGAGACGTTTCTTGGTTCAGTGAGGTTTTTACTGAAAGAGCCTTTGAGAACCGAAATCATTCAGATCTGATTTTGATGCTGTTCAACATTAATTTAAAAGAGCAGATTTTTTATTATGCCACGTAACCATATGTCTGCAAAGACAACTCACTGAAATTCATTGATGAGGAGAAATGCCTTCATTGATGGCCGAAAATGCGGCCAATGGAAACACGTCAATTACGCATATATAACGCAAAAAAGGTTTACACTCGCATGTGGTTTTCAATTCATCTCATACAATATGTTTGAACCTTTTGTAATAATTGAGTATGAATCCCTCTCTTGTTCTCAGTGTGAAAAGATGGATCTCAAAACCACACAGTCAGTCACTGCTGGAAAGGCTTTAAATATGCAAAATATGCTGGAAAACCAAATAATTTGCAAGAGGATTTCCAAAGAACTGCTCCGGACAAATAAAGGTCTCATTAATAACCATCACAAAACATCACAACCCTCGTGGATCATGCAGGCCACGACACAGTATGAAGAATCAATACAGAAACTTCTGAACGGGGGCATTTTTATAAATTCAGCTATTTTTTTTTTTTGTCTTTTTGACTAAACATTTTTTATTTTAAATATCTTGTATTGTGTAAACTTTTGAGCATGGCTGTATATATATATTGATAATTATAATAAACTTCACAGATCAGAAGACCCTCAATAAAGAAGTTGCTCTGAATAAATGGGTTAAAGTTCTTCTGATAGTTCAGTGTGTGTCTTGTTGGTGCTTCTAACACAAGTATAACTCATTTACTTCTAAACTCTTCTTTCATTACTAAATGTGAGCTTTTGATACATGTTTATTTGTGTTGCTTTTTTAAATTTAGATTTGAATGTGTCCGTGTCTGATAAGGACAACAATGCAACAGGCGAGGCAAATACAACAACCAGAAAATTTCAATTCTGATTTGTGTAGAGAATGAAAATAACATAGAAGTCTGTTTTAGGCTACACCAGTATCTGATCTACACTGCGCTTCTTTGTTTTGGATGCAAATTACAGAAGATCAGTTTGATGCACTTCACAACCAGCATGAGGAGACGCTTCGAAAGCAGAGCAGATTCAATCGTACATCTTAAGATTTGAGCCTTATCAAAGGTAAAAATCGTTCACTACACAGTGACACACACACTGTAAATAAGCAGTTACTCAAGTAAAGAGAAAATTGGTCTAAAATAATAAATAATGAATTTGTTTCTACTTCTTTGCCAAAAGACAACACCGGTTGTGAACTTTGTGAGGGACGAGCCGTAAGACTGTGAAGCTTTGGGGGTGTTGATGGACTAGATCAATTCACTCCAAAAAAAAAACGTTTTTCTCAGCTTTTTTTTTTTTTAACGAAACTACCACATTCAATTGTCAATAAAAATAAATAAATAAATGTATTTATTTGAAGAGTTCAGATGCAAAAGCCTCTAAATGCCATTTGAAATTTTCTTCTTTAATGATGATTTTTATCAAACTTGTATATTTAAGTTCAGTAATTTCACTTAAATAACAATTAATAGGTAATTATCATTGCCATTTAAGTGAAATCACTGAACTTAAATATACAAGTTTGATAAAAATCATCATTCTAGAAGAAAATTTCAAATGGCACTTAGAGGCTTTTGCATCTGAACTCTTCATTTATTTTTCTATTTATTTATCTATTTATTTAAGCAGAGGGGCTGTTTCTTTCATACAACAAAATATTCTGGGGGCCAGGAACATTATGTGGAAATGATCAAAAATGCTGGCAGTGGCTGGCAACTTTCTTTTTTTTTTAACCCTGGTTCAGAAAAAGGTCAAATGTTTTTCCTAGTAAGAAAAGATTGGATCAATGAAAGGTTCTTTGGAGAACAAAAAAAAAGCTTCTTCTATGACATCACTGTCAAAACCCTCTTTTGGAATATTTCATTTTAAGAGTGTATATACTAATGCATCCTTATTATATTTGATTTCATATTCAACAGTTAAATATTGTTTATTTTATTTTATAGGCCTGCATTGAGACTTTCTTGTGAACATTGATTACATTTTAGCAATCAACATGTTAAGCTGGAAAAAATTATGCATAAAGTATATTATGTCAACATGAAAAATGAAACCATTTTTACTGCCAAAACGCAGCATATTTATGAGTGAAACTGAATGAAAGGCAAGAATTTTTGTATCTGCATGATTTAGAAAACACTTTTATCTAAAGTTACTTATAAATGAGTGACCTAACAAACATTATTTGTTATACAGTATTTGCATGACATAATGCCAAGTCTCAAGTATAAGCTATAGATAATAAGATAAAGCAGAAGGTAAATACAGAGAAGTAAAGAATTATAGGAAGTTCGTTTGATAATGGTTGTGGTTTAGTTTTCTCTAGAAGAAGTGTGACTTCAGCTATTTCTAGAAAGCTGATTTTATGTTGTCTTACATCTGATCTCACTGTTAAATCTCCATTGATATTTCCTCTAAAGTTAAAGTGACGCACTGGTTGTTCTTAATATTTTGGACACTGATTTGAACTACCACTTAATGATTCAGCAGAATAAGAGCTTCATTCATCTTTAAAATACAACCTGTGAAATAACCAGTGGTTGTATTTAGTTTTTTCGTTCTGGATAAAGCGAGAGAATGCAAGAGAGCCTGATAACTGGACTAAAATCTCTAATTCAAGAGAAAAGATTTGTGTAAAGCTGCTGCAGATGTTTAATTCATTACACTTTCATCACTTTAAATGAAAATAAGTGCATAGAACCATTTAATTTGAAAAACACTGATATACTATTAATACTGAAAACATATGTCAAGTTGCCAGACATGATTAAAAATATATTGCTGTCAGTGTCCATTTAAAACGAAGAGATTAGAAGTGCATTAGTCTCTTTTAAATTCGTATATAAGATTTCTATAAAGACACTTATTTAGAGATGTGGTATGAATAAAACAAACACGAATGTTTTTGTTGTAATATTTGTGCACTTTAGTATTATTATAATTTTTCTGTATTATTTTAAAAAAGTATTTTGCAGCTTCTTCATAACTACAAATAGATCTAACTTTTTTTTTTACCAATCTTATTTCTTTATTCTCTTGAATCCCTTTTAATCCTTCAATTATTCAAATCAATGTAAATTTTGCTCTTCCTCTTAGGTGCCAACACCTATATAATCTAAAAGTTTTGAAATTCACTGCATGTGTATTAGGTTAAAGCAGGAGATAAAAACTAATACAAACGTTTTGGCTGTCTAAATATTAGTCGCTAGATCTGTTCTTCAGACTAATTACTTAATTATTTCCTGTCTGTATGAATGTGAATGACATTTTATGTGACTTCCTTATTCTGAACAAACTAGAGAAGCACTCAAGACTCAGCGGACACGTCTTCTGCGGGCTCGTAAAATGGATCCAGTCTATGAAAATCCTGGTTTCAAACTTTCAACAGTTTCTTTAGATGAAAAACACTCTCAACACAGAGGTAAGGCTGATGATGTCATCAGCATGCATTCAAATTTCTATTTCTAAGTATTTGCACTGCAGTAACCATGTAAGGGTTTTTTTTATGTTCAAATGCTTTTGTCCAAAGTGGCTTACATTACATTCAAGGTATACATTTTATCTGTTCATGTGTTCCCAAGGAATCAAAAGCTATGAACTCTGTAATTTAACCCTCATACTGCATGTGGAGTCAATATGATCCCAATCAACTATTCCTTAGTTAAAATAACACGGTTCCCTTCATCTCATAGCATAAGAATTTGAGACCTTTTGTGCATTATCTATCTATACACACACAAAAAAAAAACTGGACTTGATTCGGTTGTTCTGAAGGTACAGTATGTAAAAAAAGTCACACACTTGCCGTTTGGTCAAAATAACCCTAAATTGAAAATGAATGGTAAAAGTGAAACTTTCATGAGTTTTTTTATTTTTCATTTGTCCAAAAAAAAAAAAAATGCAGTTTAAATTTTCACACAGAAATGAAGGCCTTGATGTGCTACCTAGAGCACAAATGCAATGTAGAACAGACATGGCAGGGAACTACACTAACCTTTTCCACTGGTGGCACTTGCGCTACTAATTTTTTCAGTTACTGGCGCAAAACATGATTTGGTCGCGCAAATTATTTATAGTAAGCCGCTCTCTGGATAATAATGAATAATAATGAAACTGCATTAGTGTTGGAACGGTACAGAAGTCACGGTTGGGTTCATACCTGGTTCAGACATTCAGACGGTTCGGTACGATTTCGGTACAATGGAGTGAAAAGCAAAACAAAAATGCATAAGGCATTCTTATAGATCTCTTAAGCTTCGTATTTTTTAAGTTGTTTAAGTTTTATTAATAAAGGCATAGAACCAGTTTATTTGTAGTGCACTGACAATAGTTTTATATAATTAGTTTATTAATTAAATTAATAAAAAGACAAAATGACCTTGATATATGTTTGGTAATTGTACTTAAAATGTAAAATTAATTTGCTATATTTCAGATCAATATATTTGTTTTCCTTAATTTTAATTAACACTTTATTCTCATCTGAATTATAAATAAAAGATTTCCGTATAAAATAATTACCTTTAAAACACATTTGATTTTCTTTTTTGTAGAATCAATGTAGAATCACGGACGCAGGACTGTTGGCAAACTGTGATGACAATAAAATGATAGCTTATATCTCTGGTTGTTGTTTCTGTTCCACAACATTTTCTATGTCATGTTTAGGGTGTGGGATGAAGAGAGGGATATTTTCAGTAATTATTTAATAAAACAATATTTAATTTATCTTCAGTGTGTAGTATTAGCCAATTTAGGTGTCTTGACGCGAATCACACGATTACGATTCAGCCTACAGCACACACACACAAAAAAAAACTAATCTAAAAAAACTGCTAGTGATCATATGACGTTGGTCGATGTCAATATCAGCGCTAGCAATATAATTAGTTAGCTCATGGCAGAGTTTATCAGCCGAACACCAGAGCGCAAATCTACCTTTGCTGTACCAAAATTATCGTAAGGTAGAGACACGGTGTCTTACATCTCTGCGTCTTTTTCCTGCCGCCATGCAGGCCCAGATGGTAGCCTATATGATTGTGATTAGCATGCCTATTATAAAGACACAAACCTTTTACTATCATGTCCATTGATTTTGAAAAATATGCGCAAGGACAGCGCTTGTGTTGTGTGAAGACGCGCTCTCTCTCTCTCTCTCTCTCTCTCTCTCTCTCAGCTCGTTTGCGCCATGTCAAACGCATCAGTCATTCTACTCTACAACACTCGCCGATCAAAAAAGGCTTTGGCGGGACAAAAAGCGGACGATCCGACAGGTTTTAGAAGATTATACAACCTGAAAGAAACAAAAAAACAAAAACAAAAAACCGACCCGTCAAAATAGTCAGTGATACATTTGCGACCAATTAAAAATTAGGGTCGCAATGGGATTTCAAAAGGTCGCATATGCGACCATTTTGGTCGCAGTGTAGTTCCCTGTTCTCAATGCTTCGGTTTGCATTTTCCTTTCCTTTCTTCCCGGAGGTGCATGAGGAGTTGAGGAAATCTTGGTCGGCGCCTCTGGCGTTCAAGCGGAGGCAACCTCGCTCCTCCTTCCTTACCACCTGGGATAGAAGGGCGATGCACGGGTACGAGGGAATCCCCCCGGTGGAGCGGTCTATCGCGATGCAGCTGTGTCTGAAGAACGCTTCTGCTTGGCGGGGTGCCCCTTCACTCCCCTCCCGTGCCTGTAGGTTTTCCTCTGGGCTAACCAGGGATGCCTACATGGCATGTGGAGATGCCACCTCCGCCCTGCATGCCATGGCACTTTTGAAAGTACATCAGGCGATGGCGCTCCATGACTTGCAGGCGGGTGGTCCTGACCCAGCCCTGCTGCAGGAGCTGCGTGTGGCGACGGACTTCGCCCTCCAGGTGACGAAAGTCACTGCATGTTCGCTGGGTCGGGCGATGTCCACTTTGGTGGTCCAGGAGCGCCACCTATGGCTGACCCTGGCAGATATGGCATATATACTACCTCTAAAGGAGTTGTTGTGTAGACTGGGTGTTATGTCCAGTTGTCTCTTAGGTTGTCCAGTTGTCTCTTAGGTTACCCATTATGCCACGTGCAGTCCAGCCGTGTCTTCCCCTTGACAGACTAGTTCTTTTGTCCCTGTTGAGTAAGCTCCCACTCCCCTTGGATTGGGACTACTTTAGGGACTGCCATATGTTTCACTATCCCCCTGGGCTAGTACATATGTGTTTTCCAAGCCTGTGTCAGGCGGCTGGCTTCCACAGCGTTACCTTCCTCTTGTCGGGTTAGGGCACATTTTCCACTCTTGCGGAACAGCAGTGTGACTCCCTAGCTAGCTCCCGCAATTTGTAAAACTGCTCTTGGGTAGCTTAGCTGGACGCTGGAAGGGGCCAGCACCATGGCGTTTTTTAGGGATCCCAATTCATCTGGGAACTCCCCGACAACACGTTGGAGTTCCCAGGACGAAAGGGAACGTCTCGGTTACGTGTGTAACCCTCGTTCCCCGATTACAGGGAACGGAGAAGTGTCGTGTCGAAGATCTCCTGATTAGTTCAGGTATCGCGTCTTTTGTGCGCTCGAGGTCGTTATTTGAAATCCTCTATGTTTCATAGGCGCACGGGAAGAGCGCTCATTATGCGCTCACGGGACGCGCGCTCATAAACTTTTCAGTATGGGAGTGCACATGCACCCAAACACTTGGGTGTTTTTTTCTCTTCTCCGTAAATACGTCTTTTAGCAGAGCTACAGCAAGCGTTTTTCTGTGGTGGAAATACATTAGCTACTAAAACTTCTTTGTCGTTGTGGAGAGCGCAGTGTAATGAGTGCATGGTTCTATAGCAACGACAGCCATGGGAAAATCGGTACAAATTTTACTATTAATAATAAAAGATAATGGGCGCTCGAAGGGGGTCTTGCCCTGGGTGTAATTCAAAGTGGAACCGCCACTGGTAACCGAGATGTTATATAGCTGACAAAACAGTATGATGTAGGAGTATAAATATATATATATATATATATATATATATATATATATATATATATATATATATATAGAGGAGTATTTCCTCTATAGGAGAGATTAAATATATTTAATCTGGGTCACAGTATTCAAGGGTAATAGAAGGGTTACTATAAAGTCGAGAGACATTTTCAGAACCCGGTGCTCCGCCCTATTAAAGGTTAAGGGTAGGGGACGCTATACACATATATTACATTTGCTGTCATGAATCAGTATTTAAGTTCTGTGCTCTTTCTCCACTGAAATGTACCAACATAGAGAACCATGTAATGCTGAGAACACAATAAAATAAACATCAGACAGGTGTCTTTTCTAAAGATGCACATTCATTTCTTTTTGCATGTACAATTTTGTATGCAACAGCTATTGTTTTCATTTTGTTCCATTATTTTCTTTTAATAGTTCCTGAGCGCCCTGCTTTATCAGTATGGGGCTGTTCTCATTATAAAGCAGCTGTTTTGTTTTGTGCAGATATTTGTTTTACTTTAGATATATTTATACTCTATCGGTCGGTACAATGCATACATCTTATTTACTTTAACTGCAAATGACAAGTAGAAAGAAAGAAAAAATACTAAATAATAATATATATATATATATATATATATATATATATACACATACATACATATACATATATATATATATATATATATATATATATATATATAGCACCTTTAAATTAAAATTAATTAATTTAAAGAAATTAACCCGGTGTAAATTCATAAATTCAGGAATGGTTTCAGACAGAAATGCTGCAAAGATTCAAGGTTCAGAAATAATTTAAATTTTCTCATCAAATTTCTAACCCCAGGTAACTCCACTGAAGAGAGAGCGAGAGACAGAGAGAGAGAGAAAGAGAGAGAGAGAGAGAGAAAGAGAGAGGTCACTTCTTCTAAGTGGACTAAAGTTTCTCTGATTGTTCTGTGTTTTGTTCTGGGTTTTGCTCTCGGAGGTCTCTGCGCTCTCGGGGTGATTTGTAAGTATAACTGATATACTAGATCTCTGCTCTGTTCAGGGTTGTATTATTGACTCAGTTTTTGTAAGTACTTTTCCTAAAACACAATGTTGGCATACATCATTGACACTCGCAACACAATTTATTGTATAATCATAAGTAAAATAAAAGTAAGATCATATTTTTCAGCAAGCTATTTTATTAGGCACTATTGTCAAACAAACCTCCATATTTAAGTTGTAAACTGTCATTGATTAAGCCTGAAGACATTTACAGAATGGTTTCTGTCATTTCAGTCTTGTGCATGATGTGGACTTTCCTCAAAAACATATTTTCCACAGCTGCTTTTGTGTTTAATCAGATCATTTTAAGCTTGCTGATTTCAAATCACTGAATGAGCAGAACATCATGATTTCAGAGACACTGGCGGCTCAAGAGATCAACAGCGCAGGTGAGAAAACTATAAAAGCACAGACAAGTTTCATTAACAGTGTTCATTGATCTCCCCATGTTAGAAACATTATCTGCTTGTTGTCCCATATTCCCCGAGTTATGATAAGAGCATTAGAGGAACTTAAAACCAACTACACCAGAGTAAGAGAACAGTTTCTGCTTCATGTTGGTGAATTGTTTTTTATTTTACATTTTTATTACATTTTTTTTTTTTGCCTCATTTTGTGTTTGGTCATTTTGACCGAGGATTATGACCATACCTGTAAATGCTAGTTAATTTTATTGCATTGAACTAAAATTGACTGACTTTACTCACACAAAGTCTAACAATTTCCCCCCCAAAAATGAATACGTTGTACAAAAAGGCACAAAAGTCACACTTGTGGTGTTTCTGGTCAAAAATGACCAGAATACAAAAAATTATTATAAAGCTTATAAATCTCGTTATGCTATTTTATCACCAAATATTGTCGAGTTCCAAAATAGATAAATAGCCCTGGAAAGGATGCAGTAGGCATTTTGAGGAAAAGTACTTTTTAGGTGCTCACTAAAAATTTCTGAAATGTAAAAAAAAACATTTCTGCCATATATATAACAAGTTGTAAACATCACTGTTTTGGGATAAATAATAAAAACAAAATGGCTGCCAACAGATTAAATGCATTTATTGCAGTTTAAACATTAAACACTAAACTGTGCATTCTCAGAACATTTAAATTAGTACAGGTTATGCATTTTCTTAAAATTAGTAGAGGTTATGTCATTTAAATTATGACAAAAAGATTGAATCTAATATTTGGTGATAAAATAGCAGAACAAGAGATTTACAAGGGTTAAAAATGCCACAATCTTCTGTTGTGACCAATTTTCTAAATGTCTTCTTGTTTATATTTTACTATTTAATTGTCTTTTCACCAGATATGAAGAAAGAGTTCAAAGATCTTGCGGCCAGATACGGCACACTTAGAGAATGGCTTTCCTTTAATGATGGTGAGTGTCAGTTTACAAGCTTAGTGTGACACAAAGTGTGAATATTTCTGCACATGAAAGTTTAATTAACTTTATGATCTAAATAATGGAAGGTTTAATCACAATTTATTCATCTTTCACAGCTCAATCTTGTAGTCTCTCTGTGAATGGCTGGATTGCTTGTCGTGGAAAGCTGTATTTATTCATCTCTGATAGACTGAACTGGATGAGCAGTCGAAATGTCTGTGTTTCAAAAGGAGCCAATCTGGTGACCATAACCAGCCAATCAGAACAGGCAAGTCAGATCAATTATTAATTATTAGACAGTTTATGCAAGCGTTATGAAAATGTGACATAGGGGAGAGCGGGGCACAACCTAACGCATTTTAGTTTTGGCTCAATTAATTAAAAAATAATTAGGTTAGATTTTCTTTTTTTTTTTTTTTACACAAGCAAGCAACATACACATCTCTGCTACAAATGAACACTTAAAGTTTTTTTCTAGGACCTACCATTTTCGTACAGTTGCACTGAAAGTGACAGAAGTGCAAATGTTACAACTTACCCCATATGCGGGGTTAATTGTAACAGACAGAGGGGTTAGTTGTAACACTTGTGTGTAACACACATAATTCAGTACTATTTTATTTGTATAGTTTGATATTGTTTGTGCATCTGTATAGACAGATATCCATACACCCATCCCTCATCCAATCATCCTTCTATTGTGGATCAATGGATAGAGACGTAGAAAAGGGCTGCACAGTTTTGCAATAAATAATAATAAATAAAATTATAAATATTGTTATTGCAATTAAATTAGATTTGTGTGTGGCAGCTGCATGTACAATTATTATTATTATTATTATTATTAATAATAATAATACAAATGAGCTTAAAATAAAAATTTAAAGGGTTTATTACATTAAAAACAGGCCATATTTTTAATAAATAAACAAGTTATCATTCATAGTGCACTAAATTTTAAACATTTTAAATTCCAACATTGTTTGTGAAAGTCCAACAAAGTTAAATGTATACTCAAACCTGAAAAGTTGTGTGGCTCCGTTTTCATTTGATTATCATTGTACAATTGGCGGCTTGTTTGTAACACAACTAACCCCGCTGTGTATTACATATTTTAAGCCTAGCTAACAGTCACTAGGAATTGCTGACATGTTTCAAACGGTGCTATGTTTGAGCAAACAAGACAGTGATTAAGGCAATATAAAGTTAGATTTGGAAACGTATACACCCAACTCAGAAACCGAAAAAAATATATGATGAAAAAATTTACTATCATGGTGCCAAAACACTCTTTGTCCAGTATCTTCACAAAATATATTGAAAACTTTCCGCAAATTCACGGGAGAACGTCTTCTGGCAGCAAGAGAAAAAGAGCGGAAAGACGGCCGCTTTGATCCTGACGAACTATGTAAAAAGTCCGTGTTACATTTAACCCCGCGTTAGGTTGTGTCCCGCGCTCCCCTACAGCTGATTTGATTTAAGTTAAAAGTTTTATTTTAAAGGATTCTTTCTAGGCCTACCTCTAATTTTGCCTCTAATTAGAGGTAAATTATTTGCATCACCTTTGTATATTTTCTCCTGTAGGATTTTCTGGTGTCTAAAATTAACGTGACGCACTGGATTGGTCTCAATGATATAGACACTGAAGGACACTGGGTTTGGGTGAACAACCAAACTCTCACTGAAACTGGAGTACAGTAAGAACTCTGCATGTGTGAACTTTAGCTATTTAATAGCCTTCTCAATAGTGATGGGTACCGTACAAAAACGGTAATATTGGTTGCTTGATTTTTTTTTTTTTTTTTTTTTTGCGTGATAACCAAATTGGTGTTTTTTTTTTTTCTTGTTTCATCCATAGACATAATGCCTTATTAGAGTTGGTCGGATAAAGCCATTCTTTCACATCCTCATTTATCATCCTACTGGTCCTGCTGGGCAGTTTTAGAGTTTACAGACTTAATGTCATTTGTTATTAATTTTGAAAAACGATTAATGGTTGGGGATTTTAACCTGCACACTGATGTTGCTGATAATCATGCCACAAAAGATTTTCTTAGTATTACGGATTCACATAATCTAAAGCAGCATGTTCATGGACCCACACATACTGGTGGTCATACATTAGACCTTGTTTTTAGGGTTGGATGTTAATGCAATATGTTGTGAGGATATGTCGATTAGTGACCATAAGTGAATCTTTTTTAATCTTAAGTTTCTGCTACTGCTGACCCCCCTTGTAAGAAACGTCTGACAAAATCGCGCATTATTACTCAAACAACTGTTGAGCAATTTATCTCTCTGTTTGATTGTTATCTCAATTTTATGTGTTGTGTCAATGTTATTGAGATCTTAATGCAATCTTTTACCAAATGTCTGCTCTTCTGTGTTGAGTGAAATGGTTCCTTTAAAGATAAAAACTAAGCCCATCTGTAACACCTCGCCTTGCATGACGGACGATGTGCGTTGTCTAAGGAGGAGGTGCCGTACGACTGAATGTCTGTGGAAATCCACCGGGCTTAAAGTGCACCGGCTGGAACTTATGCAGGATTTTAATAATTTAGTTGCAAAATCTAGGACTGCTTCTTTTTCTAATTTAATATCTTTCTCTAAGCGAAACTCTATACGGTTTTATTTGATACCATATATAATATTGTATCTCCTCCAGCCATTGTGACAACAATATGTTCTCAAAATAATTGTGATAGGCTGCTGTCCTTTTTTTACTGATAAGGTGCAGTCTATTAGATCAAATATTCTGCGTGGACCACATTCTCTTGTAGACTGTATTCATTCACCTAGGCCTAATTGAGTCTTTTAAACCAATCAGCCTCCTTGATTTGCTAATAAATATATCCTCTTGTCCACAGGATATAATACCATCTTCATTATTCTCAAAAGCACTCCCTCATTGGCCCTAGTATTGTAGCTATTGTCATTTCCTCACTGGCCACAGGCTGTGTCCCATCCTATTTTAAACATGCCACCACCATTCAACCTATATTAAAAAAGCCTAATTTGGACCGTACAGTTTTGAAGAATTATCAGCCAATATCAAAGTTACCATTGTTGTCCAAAATTCTCGAAAAAAGTTGTTGCTAATCAACTTACGGATGTTTTAGAGAATTTGGAGTTTCAAATTTCAAAAAAAAATTTCAATCAGGTTTTAGGAAGAGACACTCTGTCTACTGAGACCGCCTTGGTGAGAGTCTGTAATGACCTTCCAATGGTCTCGGACGCAGGTCTATGTTCAGTATTGTTTCTTATAGACCTTAGTTCTGCCTTCAATACCGTGCACCACCATATCATGATTAGGAGATTACGTTAATGTGTGGGCATATCTGGAGTGGCCTTAGATTGATTTACCTCATATCATTCTGATAGAAGTTTTAATGTCTATATATGATGATTCCCACTCTTTATCATCACCAATGATTTGAGGTGTTCCACAGGGTTAGGTGTTGGGCCCAATATTGTTTATTTTATACTTGTTGCTTCTGGGTCAGATCAATCCTGTTTTTTACACTTACATAATTTAAGTCATTTGAGGTCTTTAGTATCTCACTCAGAGCTGGACTGCGGGAGATGCTCATTCATGCATTCATTATTGTAACTCACTTTTCTCTTCACTTAACAAATCTGCTCTTCATCGACTGCAATCCATTTAAAATTCAGCTGCTAGCTTACTATCTCGATCAAATTGACACACCCATATCACCCTGATACTCTGCTCCCTTCACTGGCTTCCTTTAGCTTACCATAACCAATTCAAAATACTAACCATAACCAATAGGGCTTTACCAGCCCGTTCTCATCCTTTAGCGTCACATAGAACGCTATATGACAAAACGGCGCTATACGCACATGGCACCCTTTATCGTTAATATAACACGCGAACCCAAGGCGTCATAAATCCATTAGCGTAATATGAGACTACCCTACCCCACTCCTAAACCTAACCATCACAGCACGTGTTATATTTGCGATAACGGGTGCCATGTGCGTAGTATAGCGCCATTTTGTCATATAGCATTCTATATGACGCTAAAGGATGAGAATGCGTTGGCTTTGGTCAGGCCCCTGCTTATCTTGCTGACATAATTCACTTTCATACCCCTCTCCGCTCTACCAGGTCAAATAATCGAAATCTGATATCTACTACGCCACGCACTCGTTTAAAGGCATGTGGGGACAGGGCCTTCGCCGCTATGGCACCCAGATTATGGAATGTTTTGCCCACCAGTATTAGGTTTGCTGAGAATGTGGACAGTTTTAGGGTACAAGTGAAGACTCATTTGTTCAGGTTAGCTTTTGGGTAATCTCTGTACTTTATATATTGATTATTTTATCTGTTTTATTTTATTTTTTATCCATTTTTGTCTATTGTAAAGCGCTTTGTGACTTAGTCTGTGAAAGGCACTGTATAAATATACATTTTACTTACTTACTTATTGCTTGTTTGTGTGTTAAAGGTTCTGGTTCACTGGAGGGCCGAGAGAACCTGATAACTGGAGAGTACAGGATCCGTCTGGAGAGAACTGTGCTAGTCTGGGAGATGGGAATGGCAATTTTCAATCTTGGTTTGATGCTTCTTGTAAAACAGTAAAGAAATTTATCTGTGAAAAGAAATATTAATTTACCTCCATCAGTGATACTGTTACATGTCAGTTTGTTTTGGGACTTCTTTCTGTTTGTATTTGTTCAGTTTACCAGCACTCCTTTCACTGTCATCTTTAGTTCAATTGTTTCATCTGTGTGTAATTAATCATCTCATCTTTTACAACAAGCAATTTTATTCTGTTCTGCCAAGAAGTCACTAATGAAGTTGTCCTCTAAAGCTTTGTTTGTAAAGTCCCTCATTTTTTAGTCGCTCCGACTAAAAGAGTGTAATAAAAATACACTCCAGAAAAATGCTCAAGACAAATGTACATTTTGGAAAACATTTTTACCTACCATAAAACACAATTCACCTTTGGCTAAGCCCCGCCCCCTTAGTTACTGTTGCTACATCCAACAAACTTCATCTGGGCTCTGGTTTGGTATCAACATGGCTTATGCTGTGACAGCTCTTCCTGCTGAAATTTCATAAAACATTTATAAAGCAGCTAATGAATTGTCCGATAGAAGTAGTCAAAAGGGGCTGCAATATACGTTTGAAGGCTATATTCATGACATACAGGTGAAACGCAAGGAACAACAAGGCATCCAATATAGGCAAAAGCATACCGGTGTTGTGCCAAATTTTAACCCCCGCCAAATGAGCCCGTTCTCATCCTAAAGCGCCATATACGACGCTTTTGCAAAAGCGTAAATATCCAACGCACATGGCACCATTTAACGTCAATTTGAGACGCAGATATATTTGGGCAGAAGGCGCCCCCTAGTGGTCTAGCCCTAACCCTACACCATACCTAAACTTAACCATAACCGAAGCGTCTCATTAGACGTTAAAGGGTGCCATGTGCGTTGGATATTTACGCTTTTGCAAAAGCGTCGTATATGGCGCTTTGGGATGAGAATGCGTTGGCCAAATTATTACCCCCCCTAGCATTGGTAGGTTTAGCATTAGTTGTGGGGGAAGGGGTAGGATTAGGGGCGGGGTTGGGATTAGGCAATCAGGTACGGATTTCAACAAGGGGGTAATAATTTGTTGGTTTTGGGAAGGGAAAAAACGGACACCCCCCTCCAACCTCTCTGGGAAATGCGTATCTGTGTTACAAATGCCTCAGGCACAAGGTTTAAAGGGTTAGTTCACCCAAAAATGAAAATTAAGTCATTAATTACTCACCCCCATGCTGTACCAACCCCGTAAGACCTTCGTTCATCTTCGGAACACAAATAAAGATATTTTTGATTGAATCTGAGAGCTAGATCACTCTTCCATAGACTGCCTAAGGGACTGCCTCTTGACGGCCCAGAAAGTCATTAAAAGAAAAGGTTTAAATATTCCATGTGCCTACAGTGGCTCAACTATAACTTTATCAAGCGACGAGAATACTTTTTGTGCGAAAAAAACGTAAATAACGACTTTATTCGACTTTCCATTACTTCCTTATGGGCGCATGCGCGAGAACTGAGACGAGACCGTTCTTCTTCGACTACTTTTTGTTACCGGCTGCTCACCGCTTAGGAGTTTTACCGCCCCCTACCGTATAAGATGACGTACTGCTTGTAAACAGAACGTTTTGCGCCTCCGGCTATATCAGTACGTCATCTTATACGGTTCATCTTATTAAGTTCTAAAGCATGCTAGAAATGCTAAAGGAAGTTTTTGTAACATGCAATGTCCAATCTACCCCAAACTTCACATGTTTGATAAGAGTTCTGCCCTGAACACATCCCTGCTCAAATTAAGTTAGTCATAATAACGCCATCTGCTGGCAACAGGAAGAGTCACTTTATTTAACATTTATTGTGGATTCCTAATAAATATATGAAAAAGTGCCACCAAATGTTAAACATGCTAACAATATACTAGAATGCTATAGCAAACACTTAGCTAAGTGCTAACGTATACTATATGCAAAAGGAAGTTGTTGTAACTTAAGCATGCAATTTCCAATGTGCTCCAAATTTACAACATAGGCCCCGTTCACACTGCAGACAAAAGTGGCCCAAATCCGATTTTTTGGGGGTCAGGTGACCAGGTCTTCTTCAGAGATAGTGTGAACACTCAAATCTTGCCCAAATTTAGACCACTTACATATGGGCCCTTTTCACACTGCAGACAAAAGTGGCCCAAATCTGTTTGTTTTTTTGTTTTTTGTTTTGTTGTTTTTTTCTGGAGGGTGACCAGGGTGTAAGCTACAGGGTGTAAGTTTCTTATGTGCACGCTAATAACCTATAAATAAATAATATATATATTGACAAGATCTGTTTCGAGTATGCATCTAAAATAACTATAAGAAATAAACCCCAGAATGTTGTGTGATGCTTTCTCCGGTGTGTGTAAAGTCTCAGTGTGCCCTTGTACCATGGGTGTTCGCTCTTGTGTTCGAGCACGAGCGCTCTTGTAAAAATTGGTTGCAATCTGAAACAAAGTTAGAGGACGCTAAAAAATACAAATAGCATTCATTTTTTGTCTTTTGGACTAAACATCTTTTATTTTAAATATCTTGTATTGTGTAAACTTTTGAGCATGGCTGTATATATATATATTGATAATTATAATAAACTTCACAGATCAGAAGACCCTCAATAAAGAAGTTGCTCTGAATAAATGGGCTAAAGTTCTTCTGATAGTTCAGTGTGTGTCTTGTTGGTGCTTCTAACACAAGTATAACTCATTTACTTCTAAACTCTTCTTTCATTACTAAATGTGAGCTTTTGATACATGTTTATTTGTGTTGCTTTTTTAAATTCAGATTTGAATGTGTCCGTGTCTGATCAGGACCAAAACGCCACAGGCGAGGCAAATACAACAACCAGAAAATTTCAATTCTGATTTGTGTAGAGAATAAAAATAACATAAAAGTCTGTTTTAGGCTACACCAGTATCTGATCTACACTGCGCTTCTTTGTTTTGGATGCAAATTACAGAAGACCAGTTTGATGCACTTCACAACCAGCATGAGGAGACGCTTCGAAAGCTGAACAGATTCAATCGTACATCTTAAGATTTGAGCCTTATCAAAGGTAAAAAACATTCACCACACTGTAAATCAGCAGTTACTCAAATAAAGAGAAAACTGGTCTAAAATCATAAATAATGAATTTGTTTCTACTTCTTAGCCAAAAGACAACACCGGTTGTGCACTTTGTGAGGGACGAGCCGTAAGACTGTGAAGCTTTGGGGGTGTTGATGGACTAGATCAATTCACTCCAAAAAAACGTTTCTCAGCTTTTTTTTTTTTTAACGAAACTACCACATTCAATTGTCAATAAAAATAAATAAATAAATGTATTTATTTATTTTTCTATTTATTTATCTATTTATTTAAGCAGAGGGTCTGTTTCTTTCATAAAACAAAAATATTCTGGGGGCCAGGAACATTATGTGGAAATGATCAAAAATGCTGGCAGTGGCTGGCAACTTTCTTTTTTTTTTTTAACCCTGGTTCAGAAAAAGGTCAAATGTTTTTCCTATAAGAAAAAATTGGATCAATGAAAGGTTCTTTGGAGAACAAAAAAAAAAAAAAAGCTTCTTCTATGACATCACTGTCAAAACCCTCTTTTGGAATATTTCATTTTAAGAGTGTATATATTTATACTAATGCATCCTTATTATATTTGATTTCATATTCAACAGTTAAATATTGTTTATTTTATTTTATAGGCCTGCATTGAGACTTTCTTGTGAACATTGATTACATTTTAGCAATCAACATGTTAAGCTGGAAAAAATTATGCATAAAGTATATTATGTCAACATGAAAAATGAAACCATTTTTACTGCCAAAACGCAGCATATTTATGAGTGAAACTGAATGAAAGGCAAGAATTTTTGTATCTGCATGATTTAGAAAACACTTTTATCTAAAGTTACTTATAAATGAGTGACCTAACAAACATGTTATAAGAATTAGCAGTATTTGCATGACATAATGCCAAGTCTCAAGTATAAGCTATAGATAATAAGATAAAGCAGAAGGTAAATACAGAGAAGTAAAGAATTATAGGAAGTTCGTTTGATAATGGTTGTGGTTTAGTTTTCTCTAGAAGAAGTGTGACTTCAGCTATTTCTAGAAAGCTGTTTTTATGTTGTCTTGCATCTGATCTCACTGTTAAATCTCCATTGATATTTCCTCTAAAGTTAAAGTGACGCACTGGTTGTTCTTAATATTTTGGACACTGATTTGAACTACCACTTAATGATTCAGCAGAGTAAGAGCTTCATTCATCTTTAAAATACAACCTGTGAAATAACCAGTGGTTGTATTTAGTTTTTTCGTTCTGGATAAAGCGAGAGAATGCAAGAGAGCCTGATAACTGGACTAAAATCTCTAATTCAAGAGAAAAGATTTGTGTAAAGCTGCTGCAGATGTTTAATTCATTACACTTTCATCACTTTAAATGAAAATAAGTGCATAGAACCATTTAATTTGAAAAACACTGATATACTATTAATACTGAAAACATATGTCAAGTTGCCAGACATGATTAAAAATATATTGCTGTCAGTGTCCATTTAAAACGAAGAGATTAGAAGTGCATTAGTCTCTTTTAAATTCGTATATAAGATTTCTATAAAGACACTTATTTAGAGATGTGGTATGAATAAAACAAACACGAATGTTTTTGTTGTAATATTTGTGCACTTTAGTATTATTATAATTTTTCTGTATTATTTTAAAAAAGTATTTTGCAGCTTCTTCATAACTACAAATAGATCTAACTTTTTTTTTTTTACCAATCTTATTTCTTTATTTTCTTGAATCCCTTTTAATCCTTCAATTATTCAAATCAATGTAAATTTTGCTCTTCCTCTTAGGTGCCAACACCTATATAATCTAAAAGTTTTGAAATTCACTGCATGTGTATTAGGTTAAAGCAGGAGATAAAAACTAATACAAACGTTTTGGCTGTCTAAATATTAGTCGCTAGATCTGTTCTTCAGACTAATTACTTAATTATTTCCTGTCTGTATGAATGTGAATGACATTTTATGTGACTTCCTTATTCTGAACAAACTAGAGCAGTAGTCAGGTCTCAGCGGACACGTCTTCTGCGGGCTCGTAAAATGGATCCAGTCTATGAAAATCCTGGTTTCAAACTTTCAACAGTTTCTTCAGATGAAAAACACTCTCAACAAAGAGGTAAGGCTGATGATGTCATCAGCATGCATTAGAATTTCTATTTCTAAGTATTTGCACTGCAGTAACCATGTAAGGGTTTTTTTATGTTCAAATGCTTTTGTCCAAAGTGGCTTACATTACATTCAAGGTATACATTTTATCTGTTCATGTGTTCCCTAGGAATCAAAAGCTATGAACTCTGTAATTTAACCCTCATACTGCATGTGGAGTCAATATGATCCCAATCGACTATTCCTTAGTTAAAATAACACGGTTCCCTTCATCTCATAGCATAGGAATTTGAGACCTTTTGTGCATTATCTATCTATACACACACACACAAAAAAAAACTGGGCTTGATTCGGTTGTTCTGAAGGTTATGTAAAAAAAGTCACACACTTGCCGTTTGGTCAAAATAACCCTAAATTGAAAATGAATGGGAAAAGTGAAACTTTAGTGAGTTTTTTTATTTTTCATTTGTCCAAAAAAAATGCAGTTTAAATGTTCACACAGAAATGAAGACCTTGATGTGCTACCTACCACACACACACACACACATAGCCGCAGTCCAGCAGAGAGCATTTGTATAGAATTTGGTAAATAAAATCAGCCACAATGCAGAACTCAGATATGAAGGAGTGAGGCCTAATGCATCCACATGCACACACACACATGCAGAGAGCGAGAGATTTTTGAAAAATTGAAAAAAAATATCCAACATAGAAACCATAAAAAAGAAAACCAAAGACCACATACCACCGAGACATGTTTTGACAAGAATCCTATCAAGCCAGTGTAAAGACTGTAATATGACCTGATCGATAAGGGAATTTGCATATTATAATAATAATTATTATTATTATTGATATTTTATTTATACAGGTTTGGATCAGATCAGCCTTAGTGGCACTGTGACAACCACAGTAGGTAGTCTACAGGCATAATGACAATATGATATTAATAAATACCACTTACCATTTAAGTTGGACTTCCTCGACGACGATGCCTAGCAGGTTGGTACTAACTCCGTGGCTAACATGTCTTGCCACTTTGCGCTCACCCAGGCCTCGGGACAGAAGTTGTTAAAATAATAATAATAATACCATTGTAAACAGTAGGATGTTTATTGGCTATTTTCACTCCATATACATATTTTCACTACTTTTATTAATTAATATTAAGACATTATAAATGATAAAAACTAAAGTTAATTTCATCTACACCCTAAATTAAGCTTAGTGATTTATTGTTAGCCCCAGTGCTACCAGATTTTTTTTTTTTTTTTTTTTATAGAACTGTGAGTTCTCATTTGAGGTGATGCTGCCCTCAACTTTGGGTCTGGAGCCCTGTGAAGTTAAAATAAAACAGCATATCATAATGTTAAGTCTATTTATTATTAAAGAATTTGTCCGTATTACAGTTATTTTGTGGGAAATTTGAATAATTGCATTGCAGGCTGCACTCTCTGGTTTTTTTGTAAAACAGTGACCTCTAGAGCCGCTGTGGTGTACTTGCACTGTCGTAAATAACCGTTATTCCCCTGTTACTGCATATACTGTCAAGTGCTAGACTGCTTTTTAATAATAAAGTTGCCTATCGCGTTTGCTGGCTTATAGCGTTTTTACATGATTTCTGCAAAATCAGAAGTAAATAGCCTATAGTGTATAGGCTACTGTATAATTTCATTCATGTTTTTTGATTGTAATGTTAAAATTACAAAATGTCAGATGACATCAATCAAGTTAAATGTACGTCGCATTATTTCATAACATTGGACGTTATGATTTAGACATGATTACAATTTATCATAATAGCAAATTGTGTTCAATTATTTACAACCTCTAGGCTTATATGTCCTAATAATTATGTGAGATATTGTCTATGTCCTCATGGTAATCGCAAGAATCAACATCAACAGCGTCAAGATTTGATTGATTCATAATCAACACAATTTGAAGTTACAGTCGGGAAGTGTACTGTTAGTCAGATAAACTTGATATAACAGTAACTTACACACGTCATAAGAAATCCGAACCAGACACAGGACTAAAGATACGTGATAAATACACATCACAACACCTGAGTTCAGCTGGCAAACTAGCTCTTGTGGCAAGCTCGGCAATAAAACATAACGGAAAAAACAACAAGACTAAGAGAAACGACTGTTTTTAGGAAGTCTGCTTAAAGCTCTGGTAATCGAAAGCTATAGACATGTGAGAATTATTGAACTGGTCTTATTATCAACAACGGATGAATGAACAGCACCGTAAAAAATTACATACCACAAGCCAGTGCAGCAACATACAATATAGAAACAACTAGTATACAAATACAAACAAGTTTATAAATAAGAGATTTACTTACAAGTCCATCAACAAGATCGCCAGGTCAGCATCGCAGTTACAATCCAGTGCAGCTTTTAAGCTCGCGCCAACGAGTGAAAGCCCGACCGAGTGGACTCTTGTCCGGTTTCTAGCACGGTCCGATTCTCTTTCCCTGTTTCGAAAGTAGCTTCATACAGTATGATGTTGTTGATGCGTGTGACGTCGTTGCCCTAAACCATTTCGTGATTCTCACGCGCTGTGTCAGGGGCGCCACTCTCAAACTTGCATGGCTGGTTTTTCCGGCGGCGTCCCCCCCAAGCTTTCCTACCAGGATGATTCGCCCTACTATGACTTTGTTAACCACCAAAACGACTTTGAAGCTGTTATATTAAGGTACAGATCTTGCATAGAGTGCCTTTAATCGCATTTTCTTTCTCGGGACACAGCTGAGCGGCAGATATTCCAAGGTTGATCGCCTCCGCCTGTACCTCGTCCTCCATTAAGACGATTAATGGCGAGACAACAATAACGACTGGGGTCTCGCGAAGTTTAAAGCCAAGAGCGGCTCTTTTTTCTAAATAAACTTGTATTCTAAACTACTTAAAAAATATCTAAGGCTGCATCAAAAGGTAGCTTCGCGTCTGCTGCCATGTTGAATCCATAAATATAAACAAACTGCGGCGTGTGCTATGTCGTCATCGTCTTGATGCTCCCTCCCCGTTCTGTAATTGACCCTTCGCTAAGCCCCGCCCTCCCTAGTTACTGTTGCTACGCCTGTCAAGCTTTCGCGGCTGGCCCATCTATTATAAGCCCCGTGTGGATGCACCCGGTGTCAGACATTCCCAATGAGATAATTAGTAATTTTCGGCGAACAAGTGAAATATCTGAGAGAGCAAGACAAAAGGGACTGCAGTAATCCATTCGAGGGATATATTCACGACATTATATGCAACCGATTAGAGAATAATTTCTTAAAAATTGAAGTTAAAGCCTAACGTTATAGTCCCGGCGCAAGCAGCAGCGCCTCATACGCTGACCGTTCAAATGGGAAACACAAATTGAGGAACAGCTATGTTCATACACAGCAGGGTATGTGAAAATAATCCTAATAATTATAAATCAAACAGCTTATCCATAAATCTTGTGGAATAACACTAATACTGGGAGAGCCGCGATCGGATTGGGTTAAGTTACTTAGTAAGGGGTAACGATACGTCGATTAACAATTATTAACAAATGCTGAAATATATTTTAAAGTATGTCAGTGAGCCTTTGTCTTGTCTCTTTAATCGTCTTATTTTACGTTATATCGTTTTTGACCAAAGAACCGTCAATATTTCCAAGCAATAGGAGAGAGAGAGAGAGAGAGAGAGAGAGAGAGAGAGAGAGAGAGAGAGAGAGAGAGAGAGAGAGAGTTTGGCACAATTTCACCTCAGTTTAACCCTTTTTGAAACAACACGGAAAACACAATCTTAAAGGAGTAGTTCACTTTTAAAAAAAAAAAAAAAAAAAACTTTTACTGATAATTTACTCACCCCGTGTCATCCAAAATGTGCATGTTATTCTTTCTTCAGTCAAAAAGAAATTAAGGTTTTTGATGAAAACATTCAGGATTTTTCTCCATATAATGGACTTCAATGGGGTCCAAACGGTTCAAGGTCCAAATGAGAGATTCAGTGCAGATTCAAATCGACACCAGAATAAGGGTCTTAGGACCCTCCGAGCCATGACTTGAAAAAAGATTTTGATGAACGAGTTTGAACAGGAGACTCACGAACGTTCATCACAGAACAGAGCAAGGCGAGCATTTGTGCTTATAAAACGTAAACTTTGTTATTTATTTTCAAAATGACAGATCGTTTCACTTGATGATACCCTTATTCATTGTCTGGTGTCGTTTAATGACTTAACTTAAAGGAGCTGTATGCAAGAAATTTATTTCATTTAATCATTCATTTTCCCTGATATCACTAGACATTAAGAAATCATGTTAATTTCAAACACTTATATCACAGAAAACAGTTGTCCGGCCAGGATAATGTCATTTAAAAAGTGAAGTTGCAGTCCTCAACTGATGTTGATGTTGTCAAGTTGTGTTTTGTTCTGATGCGTCACCCTCCACTGATCTAGGCTATCAATCACGGAGTCAGTAGTGCTGCGGCATTCGGGTTGCCAGTTCTTCTCTAGTTACCACAGCTGCAGATACAAAAGTGTGTTGGAATCGGATAACAAAATGTCTAAAGTTGCAAAACCAAAAAAAGAAAAGAAAACTCATTGTGTAGGACTCGTCACTTACTAGCCCATTTGAAGCTTCTTGTAGCAGCCTACGTTCCTGCTGGATCCAGCAGCATATCTGGCAACCTCGAGTCATGGGGGAAGGGGGGATACACCCCAATTTAAAAAGTAATTGCAGTACCAGTTTTGGCCACAATCTTACATATAACTCCTTTAACAGAATAACAAAACTTTAAACAAGAGAAAAGCTAATTTCCCAGGTAGGGGAAAAACGAACGTTACATGACGAAGGAGGACAGAAGAAGTAAGATAGAGAGCAGGGGAGCGTCAATGTCCTTTAAAGAACGCAGACCAAGCCCCTTCCGGAACATTACATTATTATATATATATATATATATATATATATATATATATACAGTACATATTATATTATTCGTATACAATATTAAATAAAATAATCAATGTTGTACAATTGAATCACGCTGGAATCCAGTCATCACATTTGATTTCTAATCACAGGGAATCAAGTTACTTCCTCAAAGCGGACTAAGGTTCCTCTGATCATCCTCGGTGTCTCTCTGGTTTTGGCTCTTGGAGGTCTGTGTGTTCTGGGGATCATGTGTAAGTATAATTCTTGCTCTATTTGAGTTTGCTCTGATGAGAACAGCCAAATTTAAGGCAGTTAAACGGCAAGCCGTTTTAGCTTAGATTGTATCCGCAGCCTTACTCGTCGTAATTGTATTTTTACTAAGAATTCAATTAGAGAGCTCTACAATTCAATTCTTACTAGAACCAATTACAGATAGAGAGCTCTCTAATTCAGTTCTTACTAGTAAGAATGCAATTACAGAGCTCTGCAATTATACATAGGCCTCTCTTCAATTTTCTTTTTTTTTTTTCCACTGGTAAAAGTTAAATTAGAGAGTTCAGTAATTAAAATTGAACGGAAGTCAAGAGCTCTCTAATAGTAATTGTTACTGGTAAGAATTGAATTTAGAGAGCTCTGCGATTGTAATTCTTACTAGAAATAATTGAATTAGAGAGCTCTCTAATTGCATTTTTACCAGTAAGAATTGAATTGTAGATTGTCTAATTCAATTCTTACAATTACGACGACTAACGTTGGCAACAATTTAAGCTAAAACGGCTTGCCATAGGATGTGCATCAGTCATACATTATAAAAAATCATACAAGGAAAAATATTAACAATCATTGTGGTGTCCATGAAGATGTAAAAAAAAATGTTCCTCCCCTGCATGTTTAACCCTCAGGTGCTCTTCGGGCATTTCTGACCGAAAAATTTTCTGTCTTTAAATTTTAAAAATCACAGCTTCATCGGAATGTTACGAAACTTGGTGACTTTTATGGCATTGGGTATGTGAACACACAAAAAAATTTAGGTCATGATACGAGCATGCTAAGTGGTCGTAAAAAAAAGTCACACTTGTGCTCTTCGGTCAAAAATGACCGACCATAGGAAATGAATGGGAAATTGACAAAAACTTTGAGAATTTTTGTGTGTACAATCTACAAATCGGCCACGATGCAGAAAAAAAGTGCTCAGCATTGAAGGGGTGACACTCTACAACATCTAGAGTGCAAAACACACACCCACCAACACACACACACACATACAAACACAAACACAAACACTTTTATACACACACCAATAAATCTTGATTACAAAAAGTATGTTTTGAATTTTTTTAAATCACAGCTTCGTCACAATGTTACGAAACTTCGTGACTTTTATGGCATTATGTATGTGAACACACAAAAAAATTGAGGTCATGATCTGAGCATGCTAAGTGGTCTTAAAAAAAATAGTCACACTTGTGGTCTTTGGTCAAAAATGACCCCCATAGGAAATTAATGGGAAATTGTAAAAAAAAAAAAAAAAGAAAAAAAAAAAAAAAATGTGAATTTTTGTTTTTTTGTCAATTTTTTTAATAAGAAATATTTTTTGAGATTTTTTCAACTATATATTCAAATCCAACAACAACAAAAAATGTGTTCATAAACAGCTGGGGAATTCACATGCCTCTCCATAGAGAGCTGTACATGCCATCTAGTGGTTACACCATGATTCTACGCTTTTTCTCTATACTGCAACCAGATGGTGCTAATTTTCTTCAAAAAATATTAGACTCTATATTAAACTAAAATACTACATTAATATTTTTTTGAAAAATAATAATATATATATATATAGAAAAATATATATATTTTTCCATGGCAAAAATAAACAATAAATATTGCATGAATATTAATAAATTCAATTAAATTGTCTCAAAATACTAAATTAAAAAGAATAAATATTATAGAACAAAAATAAATTGCATTGGTTTTACTGGGATGGAGAAAGTTTCATTTTTAGGTGTCCGGTCACTTTTGTCCGGGAAGATAACAAGTGTGACTCCGAAACGAAGAGCACCTGAGGGTTAATCAACGCTGATTTGGGTGGGTTTCTCCCATCCCCATTCAACGTCACTTCTGTCTTTCACTGCCCTGACAAGAACGTCAGTCTCCTCGGCTGTCACAAACCGCCACAAGAATAACAAAGCGCCATGCAACATGCGCATCTGCTCTTAGAGGTTATGTTGGATGACACTCTGATTGGTTTATTTCACGTTACGCCCAAACCACAACTATGAATAATTAAGCTACTTCAGACCAACCCCTTTTAAACTTGCTCGGGCGCAAGAGTGGGTTTGGAATTGAGAAATTCTAAATGAATGCTTTACAATATAACTAAACCCATTCGATTGTAGTCGACTAAAATCTAAAATCTTTTTTAAAATCAATTCCGATGACTAAAACTAAATGGCATTTTGATTTAGTTCTATGTCTATGACATTTAAATCAAAATTAGCTGTCAACTGTTTTCTGACAGTCGTAAACAAAATACTATTTTTCCAGTCATATAAGATTTCTGAAATATGGTGTTACTTAATGTGGTGTTACTCGTGAGCAAAGTGGGTCGTCACATCCCCAGCACTCAGTAATCATTGTTTCTCACTGGTACTTGTTTATGGTCTTAAAGGGCCAATATGTAAGAATTTTCATGTATTAATTGTATTTTTTTAATTGCAAACATATCCACATATGTTATAAGTTAACTGCTATAATCAGATACTTTCTCAACTTCTGCTTCTCACCACTGATTATTGAGAGGAAATCGTGCAGTTGCTGCTGCAGTTCACTTAACAGCCTCCAGTGGCGCTAAAAACAGGGCTTTTTGAACTCGAAATAAAAATATATAAATAAAAAACCTCTGCAATTGTTTTTCTCAGATTTAGGTGTTTCAAAAGAACTGTCTGCCCTGGAGACCAACAGCAAAAGTGAGTAAAAGTACGCCTAACATTTCATTAACCTTTGTAAAGAGAAATTACAACATGATTTTGTCTGGTTTTTATATGTTATTCATAACTTTCTGTATCAGTCATGGTGAAAGAGCTCACAGACAACTACACCAGAGTTAGAGAGACACTGTTCTTTTACAAAGGTGAGCTATTTCTCTTCTAGACATGACACAGGCCTAGACAAAGTGTTTGAATATTTCTGCACATCAAACCAAAATTTGATTAGATTTTTATGATCTGAAGGATGTTTTTGTTTTTATTGTTATTTCAGCATTCGCAGCTCAGTTGAAAGATTGGGGAGGAAAGTTGTACTACTTCAGCTCTGATGAACTGAACTGGTCAAGCAGTCGTGCTTTCTGTGTTTCAAAGGGAGCCGATCTGGTCACGATATCCAACCAAGCAGAACAGGTAAGACCACTATACTGCACAATGTGGTTTTGAAACAAATAAACAGGTATAATGTACAAAAAATCTCACTACTGATTTTTTTGTTTTACTGTATATAATTGTGAATTATGTGCCTTTTCTCTATTAGCTGTTTCTGTTATCTGAACTTAAAGAATATTACTGGATTGGTCTGAATGATCTGTACACTGAAGGACGCTGGGTTTGGGTGAATAACCAAACTCTCACTGAAACTGGAGTACAGTAAGAACTCTGTCTGCAATTGTTTGTTAATCAGTGCAACACACTGTTTTACTACAGGAGAAAACATGCAATAATAGTATATTTTGCAAAAGCGGTTCGCAAATTGAGGTCTGTGACCAATAGTCAGGGGGTCCGAGAAATAATTTGCTATGCCGTAGTTTCCGTATTATTATAATATAATTTATATATATATATATATATATATATATATATTTGTATCAATATATTTATTGTTTTTCCAGATACCGTGTACAGAAGTGGTTCCTCTTAATAAAGTAAATTATAAAGACAAATCGGAATTAGTTTGAAGAGCTGCAGATTAATTTTTATATAACATATGAATCATGTCAAGAAATTTTGGAGTGAAATTTAATTTTTCGCAGAACAACAACCAGTAATACTATTTGTATTAAACTATTAAACTATTTGTATTGTATTGTAATACAATAAGTAATACAACTCAAAGCTTTTTCTGCATCTAGAGAAAGTGTAATCACCTGGGAGTCTACATATTTTGCAAAGAATATGATATTCATAAGCCTCTGAATGTTGTCAAACGATTACCTACTTTTTATAAATCTGGTCCTGATCTAGATGAATAAAGTTTGGTACGACTTTAGGAGGGAACGGAGACGTAATAGGCCTATTATTGCTGTACCCGCAGGTCAGCCAAGGCACTGACTCGGGTCCTCAGCAAAAAACAAATGTGCATTGCATCCGCTTCCGTATTTATTACCCGCGCTGTATTTTCTGCCGGTCGCCACTATAGGGTGCAATGAGCTCTTTCAATTACGTACAGATCGAAATTGATACACGGCTGATATTGCTCACAACCATTTGCGCGTTGAACGAGGATTTGGTTAGAACTACAAACACGAGTAAAAAGTGTTAAAAAACTACAGACACGGAGGACGCGCGAGTCGCGCAGTTATGTTGAGAGGTTTAGATAAAGAGGTTTGAGTGATTAATTAACACTTAAAAATTAATTTATTCAATTTTCTCCACATTATATTGCATCTGCAGCAGCATTGTGAACTTTTGTAAGGATACGTTTAGCCATTACTTTTTAAATGCATGTACCCAACTTCAGTTTCAGTTTCGTTTTAAATAATTGTAAAATTAATGCGGTTTGTAATCACCAATTAATTCATTAGTGTAATGACAATTTATTTTGCAGGATATTTTTTTTATTCTTGTTTTGTATTAAATTATGTTAAGTTGAAAAGGATTTAAGCATATATTTGTTTTCTCTCAACAACTTACACTTGACCCAGTGCGACTACTTGGGTGCAACTGATTTTCCAGAAAATGCTGTTACTGAAAAGTGCATATTTACAGATGGGGACCATTCTTATTGTTCATACTCATTAACTGAGGGGGTCCTTGAACACTTCCTACCCTTTAATTGGTCTCTGGCCCCAAAAAGTTTGAGAACACCGGTTTTATATAAACAAGGTTTTCTTTAAAATATTATCAAAAGGAAAAATATGGTTTTAACCCTGACCTCCTGTTTCTGCTCTTGAAGGTTTTGGCACCAGAGGGTCTCTCAGTTAAGTGAACCTGATAACTGGATAACTGGGTCCGGAGACGGCGCCAATGGAGAGAACTGTGCTGTTGTTTTTTCCAACACTTTAAACAATTGGTTTGATGTTTCCTGCAGTTCTATGTATAAGTTTATCTGTGAAAAGAAAGTCCGTCAGTGATGGAAGATCAGTGTCATGAAAGAGGTCTAGTTTCATGCACATGTAGAGAAAAGAAAAACATCATGTCTTCTTCTGGATTTGTTTGCTTATCCAGTTAAAATGCTGTAAAATGTATGCTTCCCAGCAAATGCATGAACTGATTAACTGTATTACCTTGAAAGCAATATATGTTGCTTTGGATAAATGCATGTAAATCAAGCAGCTTTTCATACTGAGTGTGCTTATATCCCATTTTCAAGTCATTTTATGCTTGTAAGAGCAGGAGCGAAGCATATGAGTTATGTCACGTTTTAGTCAAACAGCTTTTATACCAAAAACAATTTTGCAAGAAATTTTCAAAGCTAGAAATAATAAGTCAAATGACATGATGCTTCTGCGTAACAGCATTATAAGGATGAGATGTTTTTTAATATTTTTGTGTGAAACTGTGCTGTGGTCAGCAGATGGCATTGCACTCCTGAGGCATTCCTATGTGCTAGCTTATAACCTATAAATAAATAAAATATATATATTCACAAGATCTGTTTTGAGTTTGAATCTAAAATAACTGTAAGAAATAAACCTTTAAGATTAGAACAAAAAAAGTACAAGGTTTTAAACTACAGCACTTAAAAACGTGTAGCATTCCCAAAACTCCCGACCCAATTACTTGTGTCAAGGAAATTATAAAAGAAATTTAGTGACAAGTAGAACATTTAAATGTCTCATTAGTTATATATCAAAAATGGCGGTTACACAGGTACTATTTTAACTCGTCTGCACTTGTAATCACTGATAACCCCTTCATCTGATGCCTGAATTTAAACTGTGCCGTTTTACTGTTGTCTTTTTAAAGCAACACCGCTACAGGTGACGGAAAAGTGGCAAAACTACAAAATAATTATCATTATCATGTTTGAATTCATTATCAGACTCTAAATTAAAATGCCTCTTATTTTTCTCATGAGGGCATGAAACATTTCACCTCTGGGAATCTGTCAGAACTTTTGCGCAGACAAGGCTCTGATCCAAAACCTACTGAGCCGTCTCACTCTATAGGCAGATCCCTTTCAAGGCAACATCTTAATTGTCATGGGAGGTCTTAAGTGACTCATTTGGAACACTTAATAGGCAGCAGCATGTGCAACACAATTAATGCTCACATGGAGACTTGTTAGGGCAAATTCTGAACTGCGTTGTTGCGACCCCTGCAGGACACTTAAAGGTGCTATACGGTAACTTTTCTTCTCAAATGAAGCTATAGATTATAAGATAAAGCAGAAGTTAAATGCAGAGATGTACTTTTAGGAAGTTTGTTTGATTATGGTTGTGGTGTGACTTCAGCTATTTCTAGAGAGCTGTTTTAATGTCACTAATATTTTAAACTTATTCAAGCTAGCACATTTTCAGATAACCAGTTCAGAATCGCTGAATCAAAGATTTATATGATTTGTTTACTTTTTATGTTGTCTTTAGTGAGAATTTGTTGTAGTATTTGTGCACTTCAGTATAAAATATTCTTAAAAAGTTTTTAAAATAATATTTGAAGGCTAAAATAACATTCACACAGTTTTGAATCAGTTTTCCAAAAATAAATTAAAAACCTTAAATGTTACTCCGGGAACCTTCTTAAATACCTTGGGAATAATATAGGCACAGTAAAAAAGAAATCTCCCCTCAATTTCAAATATTTTTTTTCCCATCAAATTTCTATTTCATTTTAAAATAACGAGTCTCAGTCTGAACAAACGGGGGATGGGGGTCATGCAAACTAAATAGACAATTAGAGTGCTGTTCTGCTTCCTTATTCTGAACAAACTGGAGCAGCACTCAAGTCTCAGCGGACACGTCTTCTGCAGGCTCATGAAATGGATTCAGTCTATGAAAATCCTGATATCACACTTTCACCAGTTTCTTCAGATGAAAAACACTCTCAACACCGAGGTAAGGCTGCATTTGAATTTCTAATGAAGTTTTATTAACAAAGTTTGGGTGGAGCACGTACAGAATAATTAACTCGAGCGGACAGCAGGAAAAACATGCTTCCCTTCATCTCATGGCATATAATGACTTTTTCTATATTATATAAAAACCCCAAGGTTATTATAGTTTTTCATTTTTTTAATAATTTTTTTGTTTTTTTATATATAGTTTTTTTACAGTCGCTACACATTTCTCAATACTTTTACTTTATGACTTTTTCAAAACTCTTCACACAGGTCTATCCAACTTTCAGCTCAGCACAATTTGACATTCAAAATGCCCTAAAACTATAAAATCATTTCGTACATGCCTCAAATCAACACATTCTTCTATAACAGTAGGTTGACAGCCAACAAACCCTTTGTCACGCACAAAACAATGACATAAAAAACAAGAAGTAACTTTAAACAATGTTTTCTATGGAGCTTATAGGAATACGACAAAATGATTTGAATTTGAACAGTGTTGTAGTACTCGAGACTCGGACTCGGTCTCGAGACCATATTTTAATGGTCTTGGTCTTGTCATGGACTCGTGTCCATTTGGACTCGGAATTGACTCGTACTCGAACATTTTTTTTTTTAGGACTCGGACTTATTCCCGAGTCCACTCGAGTTCAATTAAAAATATTTTTCATGATTATTAATGTATGTTAATAAAATATTTCTTTAAATTGATTGACACGCCCAGTGATTGGTGATTTTCTAGTGCGCAACTGCGCATGACAAATTGTAATAAAATTACTTTTAACACCACCTACTATGTGGCCTTTTTACCCTAAACTGATCATATTTTTTAAACTCTAAGTAAATTCAGTAAAAAAAAAAAAAATCTCTAAGTAAATAAAAGTAAATTAGGTAATCAACCCTCACTGGTCTCGGTCTCGACTCGGACTCGACCGTCTCTGGTCTCGGACTCGACTCGGACTCGACTCTCTATGGACTCGGTGTCGACTCGGACTCGAGTGAGGTGGTCTCGACTACAACACTGAATTTGAATTCTGTCAATTTGAATTATTTGCAAGTGTAATATAACAAAATTTAACTTTAGGAGGTAGTTTAAATAAAAGCGCACGGATCCGGCTCATAAGGTGGGAGTGGCACAGCAAGCCGACAGAACGTATTACCTCGCGGCACTGGCCGTAGCAAGTAAACGGGAAAAAAAAAACGGTTCAACGCGTAAGCTATGAAACCTGGCAAACATGGTTGGTGTTGCCCGGCCCGCAGCTCTGCCGATATATGCCAGCGAGGCACCTTGTGCCAGTGCCCAGGAGGAAGCAACACTCCTAGTGGAGTGAGCCATCAACCTGGGTGGGCAAGGCACGTCCTGGGATTCATAAGCCCGGACGATAGCATCCACTAGCCAGTGGGCTAACTTCAGATACTTTTGAGGAGATGGCGGGCGAGTAGCGACATACGACGGGAGCGTAGACCACCTTAAAGTTTGATGTATGCTACAGCCGCAGTGCTGTCCGAATGGACCGGTCCCTGCTTGAGCCGAAGCAGCCTCTTGAGGCGGCACAAGGCTAAGCGCACTGCTAGCAACTCTAGGCAGTTGTGCCATGCAGTTGAGGCCCCGTCCACAGACCTGAAACTGCATGCCCATTGTGCGTGGCCCCCCATCCGATGGCAGAGGAATTCGTGGAGACCTCAGCATGCCTGGACACCTGGGCTAGGGGCACTCCGGCCCGTAGAAAGGCAGGGTCCGACCAAGGAATGAAGGTTTAGCGACAGTGTGGGGTGACTTTCACCCGGAACTTGCCGCTCTACCACGCCCATCTCGGGCCTCGATCGTGAAGCCAGCGCTGAAACGGTCTCATATGCAACAGGCCGAGCGGCCTTACTGCGGCTGCCATATACAGTGTTGTAGTATTTGAGACTCGGACTCGGTCTCGAGACCATATTTTAATGGTCTTGGTCTTGTCATGGACTCGTGTGCATTTGGACTCGGAATTGACTCGTACTCGAACATTTTTTTTTTAGGACTCGGACTTATTCCCGAGTCCACTCGAGTTCAATTCAAAATATTTTCCATGATTATTAATGTATGTTAATAAAATATTTCTTTAAATTGATTGACACATCCAGTGATTGGTGATTTTCTAGTGCGCAACTGCGCATGACAAATTGTAATAAAATTACTTTTAACACCACCTACTATGTGGCCTTTTTACCCTAAACTGATCATATTTTTTAAACTCTAAGTAAATTCAGTAAAAATAAAGGATTTCTCTAAGTAAATAAAAGTAAATTAGGTAATCAACCCTCACTGGTCTCGGTCTCGACTCAGACTCGACCGTCTCTGGTCTCGGACTCGACTCGGACTCGACTCTCTCTGGTCTCTGTTTCGACACGGACTCGAGTGAGGTGGTCTCGACTACAACACTGGCCATATACCCCAAGAGCCTCTGAAATTGCTTCAGTGGGAGCGCTGACCTGCCTCAAAAAGACCTGAGGCAGTTGAGCACTGACTGGACACGCTCCTCTATGAGGCGCGCAGTCTGACTGACCGAGTCCAGCTCCATTCTGAGATCCTCTGCGTGGGGCAGAGTTTGCTCTTGTCCCAATTGACCTGAAGTCAATTGACCTGATTGTCCCTGTGATCACACAACAGATCTCGCGAGTGAGCAATTATCAGCCAGTCGTCGAGATGGTTGAGAATGCAAACACCATGTTCTCTTAAGGGAACAATGGCCGCCTCCACGACTTTTGTGAAGACGTGAGGGGGACAGGGCCAAGCAGAAGGGTAGGACATTGTACTGACATGCCCGACCCTCGAACGCAAACCGAAGAAACGGTGTCGAGGAAGAATCGAGACCCGAAAGTACGCATCCTTCCGGTCGATCGCTGCAAAGAAACACAAGGAAAATGGCGCATGCCGGCGGGGACGGGGCAGCCACAGCCCATCTCTGGGGCATGAAATATTTGATCACCTTCGACTGTTTCTGAACGGCAGAGAACTGTTGGGCGCAGCTCTCCACCACCTCACGGAGGAGGCCACCCTGGGATATGGGGAGTTCAAGAACCTATTCTTGTCCGACTCCCCCACATCCGCGAGGGTGAGCCATAGGTGTCGCTTCTGGACCACAAGAGTGGACATCGTCTGACCGAGGGCCAGTGCTATAACTTGCACAGCTCAACCCCGACTCTCAGGCACGTGAAAGGCACCCATGTTGCTCTTTTCACAGAAAACGCTCTCTTATCGTGCGTAAGCACGCAGGGATAACGCAGCCGACTCAACCGATTACTCTTTGAAAAATCAGCAGATCGTGAAAAGCAGCCGCGAGATCGCGAAGATTGCTAAAGCACCGTCACCAACACAGAGCAGTTTCGGAGAAAACAGCAGACTCTTTGAGCAAGAAGATTGTTAATCTTAAAGCTCATCCAGGCTCCGAAGCTAAAAGCAAAATGTGTGTGCATTCGCTTCCGCGTTATACCCGCATTGGTAGGCGGGATGCAGAATTCAAATCCCGCATGCCAATATTCATTGGCTCGTTTTAATTCACTCGAAGGCAGTTGGTCTC